TGGTCACATGTACGTACCACAACCGGTTTCTTTCTCTTTTAAAATCCCCTCCTTCCCCTCCCCCCCAGTTCCCCATCCCATCTTCTATTCTTGCCGACATCACGGGTCTTAGCTCAGGGACATAATATTTACACTAATCGGGGTCATGAGGTTCCTGAACACGGCACATCTTTACTCCTTCATGTCCCCTTCCCCTCCAGCCCTCGCCCCTGCTCCCTTGGACCCCTCCCTACTGCCAGAGATCCCTCCCCTTGTCCCTCCTATCATCCTTCATCATTCTCTTCTCTGTACTTTGCCTCACTCAGATGAGAGATAACGTATGACATTTAAGCTTCTGTGCTGGGTTTATTTTACTCAACATTACATGTTCCAGGTGCATCCATTTTCCTACAAATGTCTCAATTTTGTCATTTTAAAAAATTTTGTCATTCTTTACAGCCAAGTAGTATTCCACTATATATAGAAAGCACATTTCTTTATCCAGTCGTCTGTTGACGAGTACACAGGCTGCTTCCAGGATTCAGCTATGAACTGGGCCGTGTCAGGAAAGGGTGACAGAGGGCGCGGGAGAGAGAAGGGGAGGAGAGGGCTGGGTGGCAGGCGGCCAGAGCCTGCGCGCACTTTTTTTGCACTGCGCGGCCTTCCACACTTCTCCACACGTGGCCTGGTGAACTTTCTGTACCTCTGAACTCAGGATAACCAGGAGCCCAGACTCGCAGGCCGCACCACGGCCCAGACGCTCTCCTAGCCCCTCACACTAGGGAGCTGGGGCTCACCACCTGGCCTCAGTCCACCTGGCAGCCAGAACACCCACCCGAGCCACCCACAGGCGCTACAGAAGGCGGCCCGCCCAGGCGCTGCCCCAGCACTCTGCAGGTGCATGTGTTGCCCTGCGCAAGATCTGCAGCAGGTTCCCCTTGTGCACACACTCAGTAGATCCTCGGATGCCGCAGAAGCCACGGCTGGGCCCTTCAAGCGGGGAGGGCTCACCTCGCTCGGACCCGGGCAGAGGCTGCCGCCCCACAGCGGCTGTTCCTGTGCTCTTCAGCACCCTCTCCACTTCCCGCTTTCCAACACGCCACTGAGAAATTTTTATTCCCTTATGTCTGGAGAGAAGATCTCACATGTAGCCCAGTCTGCCTCACGAGTGCTGGGGTTACAGGCATGTGCCACCACGCCCCGCTACTGCCTCTTTGTGTCAGGAGCTGGTGACGCGGTGCGCTGGCTACCACGCAGGAGGCTGCGGGTTCAGACCTGAGCGCTGCAAAGGAAAAAGGGAGAGTCTTTCCACCAAACTTTCACTGGCCGAGTCGGGCACGATTTCTGTCTCACAAGCAGTCCCCGAGGACACACCTGGCTCCTGCACCGAAGCCGACCTCATCTCTGACTCCTAAGGAGATGCAAGTCCTTTCTAACTTAGGTTTGCCTAAGGCCCAGCCACTTGCAAGGGTCCATTTGCTGTGCCTCACACTGGTAAGATACTACTTTGTGTCTGACACAAATTGTTGTCTATTCACTGTGTCGGACCACTGAGTGGACACTGTCTGCTCTTTGTCTGGTTAGGACGAGCAAACCCTATTTTATGAAAGGTTCACTTGAGTAAAGAGGATTGAAGTGTTTCTGGCATCACCACGCTGCAGCGAGAAGCCCGGGTTTGAAGTGCTGGGCTTTTAAAGGCCAGAGGTGCACTGCTTTTGTTTTTCCATGAGGTCGTTCATAAATTTCACAATATTAACATCTAAAGAGGAATTCAATACCAGAAACAAGTGTCCTTGGACATTTAGAAAAAGAGAAAGGGGGAAAACAGAAAGTAAAAATATATATAGTGTGGTGGATTGCCAGCTGGTGGTCAGCTTGCAACACCCAGCTGAACTCAATCAGCGTGGTGCTGGGTGGAGAAGGCCCCTGGGGATTGTTACCAACAGCATGAAAAGGAGAACTGGACAGGAAGAAGAGGAGCTGTTGGTTCTTCTGGAGGAGCTTATCACACGGGCTCTCCTGATATGAACTTGGCTGTTCTTATCCTCAAAGCAGCTTGGGACCTTGTCGCTGAGAATGGCTTTGGTTCACCTGCGGGAGCTCTGGTCCTCACTCTGAGCATCACTTCCTGGCTCCGGAGGGGAAGATGGTACACTGCTCAGTCTCCTGGAGAAGCTTGTTGAGTTGGCTTTCTTGACGGGAACTCAGCTGTCCTGATCATCAGAGGAGCTTGGGACCTTGCTGTCACTGAGGATGGCTGTGGTACTTTTCAGGGGAGCTCTGGTTCTTACTTTGAGCATCACTTCCTGGCTCCAGTGCAGATCCCTCAGCCTGCTGCCACAGATCCTTCATCCCAGTGGCACAGACTTTCTAGCTTCCACCACTGACCTTTGGGCCTTCCCAGCGCAGATTGGTGAAAGAGGCCTACATAAGACATCGTTATGGGCTCTAGGCCTCCAGCTGGACTCCTAGGCAGGCACTGTCAGGGGCTCTAGGTCTTCAGCTGGAACTCATGCAGGACACTGCTGTGGGATGCAGGCCCTCAGCTTTATTCTTTGGTCCTTAGTGTGTGGACAGATTTCCTGCACTCTCTTTGTATATGACTCTTGACTATTATAAAATAGCCCCATAAATTATGTGTACTGTATTAAATTGTTTCCCTTGCAAAGCCTGACTAGAACATATACCAAATATATATGGGGAGCGGGAGCTAGAATACACATGCATACTAAAGGATTTTGGTGCTATTAAGGAACTTTTTAATTTAAAAATCTGAATTATTTCCGTTCTTAACTTTGGCCAATCTGACCGAGTTACAACTCGACTCTGTTTACCGGCTCCGGGCTTCAGGGGTCCCCAGAAGAGCGGTGGAGGACACACTGGCCGCAGCCTCTCTTGCATTGTTTTAAAGGTTGTCTTGCACACGAAGTGTTAGATAGGGCACCGCTCAGCTACCAAGTGTTACCATCACTGCTTTGGGAAGTAAGGATCTGAGCTACGACTGGGTTCACAAAGAGAAGCAGCAGACACGAAACAAGGAAGTTATTCACGTGCACCGACCAAGGAGAGAGTGAGTGGCTTTCCCCGGCCACCACCCCTAACCAGGAAGCCCTCTGCCACCTCTTAGGTTTTACCCTTCCCTCACTGTCTGCAGTCTCACCGGTGAGATGCCCGGATGCTTTCAGTTAGGGCGAAATCATCCTCTCCACATGGGCAGTGCCTCTAGGAAGAGGCTGCTGGAGGTTGTGTGGCTCCTGCCTTCCCTCCCTTCTTGTGTGATCATGGGATGAAGAGGGGACCCGTTCCCTCACAAGGAACCTACGGATGTGTCCCCAGGAGGGCAGATGGGGACTCCAGCTCTAGGAGACAGGCACGCCTGGCGGACCAGCCTGGAACGTGGACAGCTTCTGCCCACACACTAAGGACCAAAATCCTTTAGTATGCATGTACATTCTAGCGCTGCTGGCCAGGACAACTTCCTCCTGGGACTTACTCAAGACGGAGGTGAGCGTGTGGGAGTGCCAGGGGATGGGTCCCCATTTATTACCAAACCTGGAGGGAGTGCAGTCACACAGAAGTTGGAAACAGCCTGGCCTGGTCTGTCCCTAAGGAAGACATTTGGAAGGCAGCTCCCTGATCAGGGCTGAGGTGCTCCACTTAAACACAATTCTTTGAGAAGCACAGCTCACGATGTTTGTTGCTCACGCTGGCTCAAACTTTCAGTCTCTCTGCCTCAGTCTACTGAGTAGCTGGGATTATGAGACCGTGGCACCATGCCCGGCTAATTTTAAATTTTTATGTCTGCTTTTCCGTATTCCAAAAAAAGTTGCAGCAGCTCCCTAAAAATATTCTTGGTACAAAAGAAGGGTTTTTAGAAAGATGAAGGAATCTGTGGTGGAAATAAGCTCACGTACACACTCGGCCGGGGCTGAAGGTCCCTCGGAAACCACCACCAGCCACGGGGAGGGGGTCGCCTCCAGGTGCGGAGCTGCACTGGCCTTCTGAAGGGTGTGGGGCACCTTTGCTGTGGTAGTGACCGAGGATGCACTGCACGATATTTCCTGGGTGATAGAAATGTTGACCCCAAACTATGCTGTCCCACCAGTCCCCCGGCCCAAAACGTCAACGATGACCCTGAGATCCACACACTGTGTGCTGCAGCCAACTGCCCCAGGCAAGCCCAGCCTGGCTCCCCGACCCGAGGCCGGGGAGAGCTCTCCCCCACGGAGGAGCTCAGGAAAGGGGCCCTGGCAGCAAGGAAGGAAATCCCAGAGGACAGTCTCCCTCCTGGTACAAGAACAAGTTTCCTTGGACCATTACCTAAAGCACCCTTCACCATCCTCCAGGGCACAGACCGAGCGCAGACTGGCACTGCGGGCTGGGGGCTGGGGGGCTGCGCAGGGTGGCTGGGTGCACGTTATCACCACCCCCTCCACACACAGGCTCAGGAAGACACACCCTGGTTTCTGTACGCTCTTGTGATGTAATTTCACCCGGTCTCAGGACTGTGCGTGCTCTGCACAGACTGGGGGTGAGGGGCAGCCCTTTTTCACTAGGGTGCAAGCAGAGGGCTGGGAGCCTGGAACCCTGCGTTTCCTGGTCACAGGCCTGCCAGTGAGTGTGGTGGTCAGGACTACTCTCCTCTGCGCTCCTCACCCACCCTGCTGCATGTGGCCAGTGCTCGTCAGGGGCGGAGTGCGGCCACGGAACAGCTGCTGTGGGCCCAGAAAATCCCTGGGGGAGAGAATGTCCCCTCGATACAGGCTGGGACCAGGCCGTTACTTCTAGGCTGCCATCAGGCAAACTCGCACCATCGCTTGGTAAATGTCGGCTATCGTATACGTTCCGTGTCGCAGGAACTCTAAGTAGTCTCCTGAATCAGAAAGTGGCGCTCCGAGCCACACGCACAGGCTCCTCATGGGTTCCGACGAGACAGGCTCCTCTCTAACCTCCGCCCTGAATATGGGAAAGTGACCCAGCTGGATGGGACGGGCGATGCCTTGGACACGGGGGCCACTTACAAGCTCCGAGAACCCGCGGACCACCTGGCGCCGCTTCAGGTTGGTCTCCCCGTCCAGGTTGGCGGTCTCGATGTGGCAGAGCCCGTCGGGGTCGCTGGAGGACAGCAGCAGGATGTCCGCAGGGATGATCTCGTTGCAGCGGAGGTGCACGAAGTCCCCCACGTGGATTTCCTTCCAGAACCGGTGCACGTACTTCTTCTCTTCCCTGGAAGAGAGAATATGCTGTTTAACTTCCTGAGTTGGGCTTACTCTGCACAGCGTGGTGGCCTCAACTCCACTTGGCTGTGAGTGACAGGACTTCAGGTGTGCTCCTCCTTGTGTAAGGGAGGGGCAGGAAATCACCCAAGACCAGCGCAGGAAGGCGTCTCACCAGTGGCACCTGCATGCTGTCCTCGGAGGATCACTGAGCCACCCTGCTTGCCAGTCGCAGCCTTCTCCCTGGTGCTGCCTTCCCACCCTCCTCGCCCAGTTCCCAGGCAGAGTGCCCAGGCTGTGAGTTCGGGTCCTGGCCTGGACACTGTTTGGCCACGTGCACCTGAGCCCCAGCTGCGGACGTGAGGAAGCAGCCGCCAGACTTCCCTTCCTCTCCGCTCCAGTGTGGGCTGCGGGAAATCCTGGCAAATGTGAAGAACCCTGGGCCACCAGACGCCCAGACACTGACGTGCAAAGTGTCCCCTGCCACTGTCTTTCACACACACTCACTGGAAGTAAATGTAAGGCAAGACGCAGCCACCAGGCAGCACCGCGGGGCCTGCGGCCTCCAACCCCACGCAAGCAAAGCGGGTGCACCGAGGCCAGCGGGCCACACACTCAGTGCCAAGGTCGGCTGGCTCCAGATAAAGCACAGAAGCGGCACCCTGTTGCCTGACCTTCCTGCTTGCCCACCGCCAGTCTAACTGCTTCCGAGAATAGAGACAGGTAGCCTTGGTGCTGGGCAGATTAAAGCATTTCAATGTGTGCAGTCTCTTTCCAAAGGTCAAACCTTGACTTTCCACCACCGAAAGCACGCGCTCTTTAGACCTCCTCCCTCACTGCGCCCACGTCCCGGGCTCCCTCGGAAAGCACAAAGCAGCCTGGGAGGGGCTGTGCTTTCAGAGGAACGCCGACTAAGGCTGAGTCACTGCTGCACCCCAGGAAGACACAGCGTTCGCCCCGAAGGGACGGGGCAGGCTTTGTTCCACGGAGCCTGAGACAGGCGTCCTGAGACTCACAGGTGACGGGAGACAGGAAAGACACTGCTCGTTTGTGTTAACTTGATTTCATGTGCGAACCTCCTCGGAAAAGCCAGCTTCGTCCGCTTTGTGACCATCAAGGCTCCACTGCCCGCTCCGCTGGCGCCCGTGTTCAGAGTAATAACCCGGGGGGAAGCGTTTGAGTCCCCTGCAGCCTCCGCAGGGCTAAGCACCTGGGGAAAGGCTTGCGGTTGTTTGTTTTTTGGTACTGGGGTGCAAATTCAGCGACGCTCTGTCACTAAGCTGTACCCCTAGCCTTTTTCATTCTGAGACAGCTTCCCACGGAGTTGCCCAGGCTGGCCTAGAACTTGCAGTTCTCCTGCCTCACCTCCTGAGCAGCAGGGATTCAAAGCATGCTGCACGGCTGGCCTGAACTGCACAGCAAGACCCTGTCTCAGAAAAAACAAACAAAGGCATTCAAGCCAGAGCCTTGCGCATGCCAGACAAGTGTTCTACTGCTGAGCTACATCACAAGCTCCTATTATATATAAATATACATATAGCCCAATTTTATTATATGTAAATATATTTCCAGTAATGGAATTGAACCCAGGATTGTTGCGCTGAGCTACATCCCCAGCATTTTTACTCTAACTCACTAAGTTTCCTAGGCTGAACTTGAACTTGCAATCCTTCTGCCTCAGCCTCCCAGAATGCTGGGATTAGGTCACGTCCCCAGCCGGGCTTACAATACTCTGCACCGTTCTGTTGGAGTGTGCTCCTGCCAGCCCAGCCGCCATGCTCCTGCGGCAGCACTCACACGTCCCAGGTTGGCTGCCTCGCAGCGCCCTGAGCGACTGGCGTGACCATCGAGTTCGCGTGAGCACGAGGCCACTGCGATGTCTCCATGACGACGGGTCCCGCTTCTCCGGACAGGTCTGCAGTGCTGAGCAGCACTGGACCACCTAACTCGCTCTCCTGACGCGGCCGGAAGAGCTCACAGGCTGTGGGGACGAAGGGCAGGTGGGTAGACGTGGGTGGCACAGAGGCACACACCACACGATTTATCCACACGCTTGTGTCGTTACACACACACACACACATCTGTGAACAGGGAAAGCACGGCACAGGGGACAGAATCTGCCTGGCACAACTTGGTGGCCTCTTACCAACGCCCTGGAGGCTCGGCCGGCTGGACTGACTTGGGACTCCTCCTCCTCCTCCCGGTCCCTGGGGCTGGTACTCCCACGCACAGGATGCATGACCACCCTTGCCCACTGCAAAGGCCCAGGGGTGCAGAGGACACTAGGGCCTCTCGCCAATGTGACGCCCTGGCTGTAACCCTCCCCGGGCAAAGCTACACGGCTCCAGGGACCAGGGCCGTCCTGTGGCAGACGGGTCACACGCTCTGCAGTGGGAAAGCTGGGCTGGGGATGGAGCTCAGAGCTAGAGGGCTGCCTCCCATGCGAGAGCTCTTGGGTTTGATCCCTAACAATTGAAAAGCTAAAACTAACATGAATAAATGCGTAAGGATCAAAACAGCTGTAGCCCTCAGCACAATCGATGAGTTTACGCAGTGTTAGAAAGTGACCCTCTTAGGCTGGGCGTGGCGGCGCACGCCTGTGATCCCAGCACTCGGGAGGCTGAGGCAGGAGGATCGTTGTGAGCTCAAGGCCAGCCTGAACTGCATAACCAGACCCTGTCTCAAAAAGACAATAAATAAATAAATAAATAGAAAGTGACCCTCTCTAGTTTGCCTGCGGGGCATTCCTCCAAGGACAGACCTGCCTCACGTGGCAGCAGGGTCTGGGAGGGCCCCAGGCCCCTGCTCAGGGTGAACAGGCCTGTGCAAGGCTCCCTGGGACTGACAGGAAGTTGCACCCCATCTTGAGCAACTGGTGACTAGAGCTGCCCCGCAGGGAGACCATCCAGGTGTGCCTGACCGGGCCTCCTGAGCCCTGCTGACCTGGGCCTGATGTCAGTGACAGGTAAGTGTAGGAGGGCAAGGAGTGGGCACATAACCAGGGCCTGATGGTGCAGCCCCCAGCCAGCGACCAGCGAGGACGTGGAACCTCTGTCACGGTCTTACACCCTCTTCCACTTGCTGATGAGCAGAGACTAAGCATCCCGTCAGTGAGAAGGCTCTGGAGGCCAGGGGTGGGGGGTCCAGGTCACGGGTCCGCGCCTCTACACAGACGGGAGGCAGCACAGCGCACCGCATGATGGGGGAGGCCGAGAACCACAGCCAAGCTGTGAACCCAGACCCACGCTGGATAAAATCCACCAGGTCAACCCCCGGAGCCTCCCCAGGACTGCTGCCTGGAGCGCACCTCGACCTCTGCGGGGAACCCTAGGCGGAGGACCCAGCAAGTCTGACTGAGCCACGGACACCAAGGTCGCACGTTTGCGTTTTGCTTAGCTGCTCAATGCATGCAATTTGTTGGACAGCCTCAGACGACGCGCCGTACCATCTCCCATCCCAAGGCGGCAGCCAGGGGCTGTCGGCCCAGCAGCTCCGTCTTCCACACGGGGCAGCAGAGCAGAGAGGGCTTCACAACAGCCACACGCGAGCACAAGACTACTCCCCGGGACACGTGCCGAGCGAGAATGCTTCACAGCACAAGCGACATCCGTCCTGGGTGTGAACGGTGTGCGAGCACGGGGGTGAGGTGTATCGTGGGGGACAGGCTGTTTGGGGACGTCCCGATGGGGTGCATAGGTTCTCCACGGGAACGGAAAGCACCTTTCCCTCTCGGGGGCCCCACCACAACGATGGCCACAGTTCAGGCAGGAGTGCAAAAGGCTGCCGGTCTCCTGAGGCCGCCTCCTCCCCGGGGAAACGGAGGGGAAGAGGAGGGAAGAGAGGGCCTGGGCTCTGGAGGAGCGGGTGGAAGGCCACCGGTAAAGCCGTCCTTTTCCGGAAGTGTGATGTCAGCTGCCCTCAGACCGGAGGCGGAGAGCCAGCCAGCCACTGGCCAGCAGTGTCACCACGACGGCCACCTGGCCTCCTTTCTGAGGCTGACTCAGAGCTAACGGAGGGCGCTGGGGAGGTGAGTCCTCAGGGCGGCGCTCAGCATCCAAGGCTTCTGCGACCCGGCTGCCCCTCTGGGGGCGTCCTAGGCACACGGAGCCCCGAAGGTCCACTGAGCCTCACTCTCCCAACAGAGCATGCCAGGTGAAGGAGTAGGGAGGTGTCAGAGTCAGGGTGACCCGCGACAGTTTGTTTCATGACAATGAATAACAAGAAAACCAACCAAGATCTCTTAACCCATCATCTCTGGTCACTGCTTTAAACTGGGTTAAAGGATGTACTTATAAGGAAGGAGCTGTTTTTAAGGTTATTAAATAATTTCATAAAAGGAGGTAGCTTTACTTAAGGAGGCTGACAGGAACATGGAGGGGGGTAGGAGACTGCTACACCCTCTTTCCCTGAAAGTAAGACCTAGCTGGAAAACAAGCAGCCTTGGAAACCGGAGATCAAGAACACCAGCCCCACTCGGCCATCCCTGCCCTCCCTGCCCTCCCTGCCCTCCCTGTTCTCTTGATCAGCGACTGCTCTGTAAGGAAGGTGAGGCGAGGATGGCTGACTGCGCTGGTGGTTTTGATCTCTAGTTTCCAAGGCTGACTATTATCCAGCTAGGTCTTATTTTGGGGAGACACACTATGTATTTGTGGGTCTTTACTGGTACAGGGTTTAAGAGCTACTAGGTAGAAACAAATGGTTAACATTTTATTTCTTGAAACACAGTGATCCTCATGAGTCTCTGGGGCTCCAGAGATTTTACAGAGGCTGAGGGGTCTCTATGATGTATTTACAACTCTTTTCAAAGTAGAAAAATATGAAAGGAAAAGAAAGAGCTTGCCCAAGAAATGGAGAATTGCGCTTTCACGTTTAAGGCACTGTTTTCAAGTACATCCACACAGAGTGACGTTATTTGGTGAGTTTTCTTTAAGAGTAAAGGAAGAGAGGTTTTTGTTTTTTATAAAAGTGATGACAGATTCCAACATTACTCACAGCCAGTTAATCCCTGGT